AGAGCCACGAAAACTCACTGTATCGAAAGTGGTAAGGGAGTTTTAGCTGTAACATGCCTGTGCCTTTCAGACACATTTTACATGCGGCAAGTTCTGAAGTATACTAAAGACTCCCTGATCATCTCCTCACAGTATGTAGATGGAACACATTTGGTTGGCTTGAGACAAAATTACCTGGTCTAAGGAAAGATTGTTCTTACCTTCTGCATTTTCTTTTAAATATAGAAATATAGTAATTGGGAAATTTTAAGTTAACTTGCAGCAACAAAACCAAACCAAAACAATGTATTCAAACTCAGCTTCTGAAACCATGAAGAAACCAGTTACTATTCTCTTTGGAATCTAATGAAAAATAGACTAAGACACCAGGAGCACAGGTCCCTCAACCCAAGTCTTAACAAAGAAAGAATTCTTTTTTCAATGCAGTAAAAATCACACCAAGGCTTTATACTTATGAATGCTTTACTAATGATTATCAAGAAAATGTATAATGCAAAGGATAGGGTTAACATATCATGATAGTTATCTTCATATATCAACTTGGCTAGGCCATGGTACCCAGATATTTGGTCAAACATTATTCTAGATGTTGCTATGAAGACTTTTTTAAAAAAATGAGATTAACATTTCAAGAAGTAGACCTATTTACCCTCCAAAATGTGGGTGGGCCTCATCCAATCAGTTGAAGGCATTAATAGGAAAACACTGACTTCCTTGGAGGAAGAGAATTCTTCCAGCAGCCAGCCTTCAGACTTGAACGACAACTCTTGCCTGGGTCTCCAGCCTGCCAGCCTACCCCATAGATTTTGAACTTGCCTCTACAGTTGTGGGAGCCAAGTCCTTAAATCTCTCTATACATTCTACTGGTCATTTCTCTGGAGGAACCGTGACTAATACACATAATGTAGTAGGTTATTACTACTTCTCACCAGTATTTCTGGCTGTCTCTCCCCGGTCCATGAAAGGATTACACTTTCCTGAAAACTTAAAGTAAGCCCTGACTGTGTAACTTGCTTTGCCTAATAATAGGGTAGAAGTGACACTAACTTTAAACAACAGGTTTTAGGAGCCAGGGAGTGATTCTTTATGCTCCACCCCTGCGGCAGCAGGTGCTGAGTCCTCAGGTTGAGATGGAAACATAAGGTGCCGTCTCCCTCAGCCTGGGCCCCCAGGTGACTGCAATCAGCAGAGTCCCACCTATTTGCCCTGTGCACGTGGAGCATGAGCAAGATCATTAGTTGTTTCAAACCACTGAGATTTCAGAGTTGCGACCAACACACTACTGTGGGTGGGGTATAGGGAGCCCTGAATCCTAGCAACATCCACTCAACTGTACGTTTTGCAAATTTTTAATTTTTTCATTTTTCCAAGTTGAAGAAAACATCTAGTTGATATAAACACTAGTGACTTGAAATACCACATGCACATGATAGTAACAAAAATGCCTCTCTAAAATGTGAACATTTCATAAATTGACCTCTCCTTTAATCCAAATTATTGGTATAATATATTGCCAAACCCACCAGCATCCATTCCATTATAAAACTTGGAATAAATGAAGCCCATGTGAATTTGAACATTTGTGTAACCTAGGCATTGAAAACTAGTCTATCCCAACTGTTTCAGAGTTTGATATTTCATGAAGTTCCTAGAATATCCCTCTGCCTTTCTATCTGTTGTAACTCCCAAATTACTATTGAAGAAAATCCTTCACTGCTGCAGATCAATCAAAACAGGTCTTCAAATAAAAAGCATCCAACATGATAGTTCAGTTAAACCACACAAAAGCTGGCTTTTGCCAGGGAGAGGAAAAAGACAAAGTATAACGACAGGAGGCTGAACTACAAGGGCCTGTGGGTAAATAGGGCATAGTTACGTTCAGATTTCAAAATTATCCAGTCCTGAGTTTATTTGGAATTTCAAGACACAAAAATACAGTTGAGATGCTCAAATCTATCTAAAACGTCCAGATTTTTAAAAGAATTCTAACAATTTTGGCTCAATTTTTTTTTTTTTAAAAAAAGGATGGAGAGCACCACTTTCCCCCATAAATACCCAAACCCACAAACTCAGTATGGAAGGTGTGAACAATGTTGTATTTCCTTTTTTTACCTACCCCCCTCCCCATAAGGTATAGCACAGCGCCTGTCTACAGCTGTCATTCAATAAATGCTAAATAGATTTCTGCCGCCACATTCTCAAATCCCCACCCCCTGGCCACCTCCTGTATCTTTTAAAAGAGAGACATAACAGGTATCAGAGAGGGCTGTCTCCACAGTCCTGTCACACACGGCACATACCTCTCTCACCGTCCACTCTTGCATTCTCACCCCCACTCTGGCTAACTGAACTTTAACAGTGAGTCTAAGTTAGTCGGTCAACAACAGATGGCTATAGTGCTGTGTACTGGTGGTACAACAGACAGCGGCGACTGGAATTAAGGTAGTTGCTGGATATTCAGACCCCAGAGAGGTCAGAACTAACCCTGCCACTCTTAGGTGGTGTCTATCTCCACAATGGTTGGGGGCAACCTTAGCAAAGACAGGCAGAGGCACGCCACTGAGCACACAGCCTTCTGAAAGCAGGTCAGTGGGGAGAAAAACCTGCAGTTTGTCTTCGTTTCACCAACAATTTACTTGGAGAAAAAAAATAACAGTTAATGCAGTTGGGCCGTGGGGAACAGCAAGGCCTCAGCCTGGGCTGGGATTTGCCTCCAAATACAAGAGCTAGTCAATACTCCGGAGGATCATCTGCTCAGAGGACAAAGGTCAGTACAATAATGGGTGTGTCTGCCCACAGTAAGGGATCTTTGGCTATACTGAGGTCACCCGTGTCAGTGATTATCAAAGGCAATTTTTCCCCCTAGAGGTTGCTTCTATTGTTAGATTATTATAGCCTCCAGGGTGATAAGCCTTACACACCACGTCCAATGCTGCTGCACTTTTAGACCTTAAGGAAACCCTGTAAGCATTTGTTACTATTATTAATTAAGCATAATTAAGCACTCCTGGCATGCATTCCATATTGCCTTGCGCAGAAAGCTTCAGATGTAAACGATCTTTCAATAACATTCCCTTCCTGAATGCTGAGATGAGAACATGAAAATCATACCACATGTCTGCCATCTGTATTTGTACTTGTCAACAGCTCTGTTTTGGGATAAACAGTTTTGAAATAAGAATCAATCCAACTTGTTGGAAGATTAGCCAAGGAATAGCTCAAAGACCAAATCAGAACGTGAAGTCAGATAGTCTGAAAATCAAGCACAATTTTGTTTCTCACTAAACATTCTGTTTTGTCACAGCCCAAGAGAAAGAGCGTGGCAGCCAGGGTTTGGGGGCACAGAGACAGGGAAAATGTATGTACTCAAGTCAAAAATTCTTCAACCTAGAACAAATGTCTTTGCTACAATACAGCTAGAAATCATTCACTGACCCTTAGGAGACTACAGAAAAGAAGAAGGTATTTTTAGCATTTACACTTTGTTTCACGGTTCTACTATGTGAAGGTATACACAGGCGACAACTTGCATGGGTCCAAGTGCATAATACAGTCCGTTATTACCATAAAAATGGCAGTATTTCCCAAAATCGATCTTGATTAAAAGTAGTTCCATGGTTGAAAACAGACTCCACTGTAGAGCTATTAAACTAGAGAGATGGCAAGGGGAAAATAAAGACTTTTATACCAAAAGCGAGGTCAGGGAAGAAGAAAAAATAGGATGCTACAGATTGTTGGGAGACTACAGTGGAATTGCTTTTAGAGGTGGCTGATGTAAGTGAACGAAGGGACACGATAACCTGCAGCCCCACATATTCTACAAAACAAATGAGAACATGTATCCTCCACTTGGAGGGCTATCCACTTTCTCCTTAAAGGAACTCATTTATAAAAGAGCAAATTGGTGATCTGTATTCACAGACTGGACCCTTTCCAAGCCCCTGTCAAGAAGTGATAAATTATTGAAGCATAGCATAAAGTGTTTTATTTTTTATGTGCACACGGTAAAACCCTGTGAAATGTTTCTGTTCACCTTTCCCAAGTTATTAATTAAAAAATAATTGTTTCCAATTACTCTCTGATCTTTAAAATAAACCAAGACAAAACACTACATACACCTCTCCAAAATCAGCACTACCCCTTCCCTCCCTCCTTGATCCTGCCCCTACATCCTTCAACCCGGCAGTTGTTTTAAATCACACCACCAGCTCCAGAAACAGGAATGCTATTTAGACTGGGGAGGGAGAGAAGAGGAAGACCAATACAACATTCACACAACTGTCTGGTGTTCATTCAACCACAGTGCCCAGATATATTTGTTGTTCCTAGAGACAGCATAAAACTGTTTGGAGAATAAAGCAGGGTTGTGGAAAGCTCATTAATAAATTGTGAAAACCCTCTCAGCAGGAATCACATCATTGGAGGAGCTGACTTGTGCCAAGCAACATAAAGCCTGGTGTTCTGCTCCTGGACAACGTCACACGCAAACACAGCTGATTTTTGAGACAGGGCTCTCTAAAGCCACTTGCTAAGCAAGTTAGGAAAAATTATTTCCCAATCTCAGTTCCACAATTAGAACCTGAATTAGTTTATAAACTCCAGGCTTTGGTTTAATCCGACTGCAAGAGATGTACAGGAATGGTCTCTCCCAAACTGTGTTCATAAACTGAGAGAATAACATTGATGCCAATGTTCCTGAAAGGGAGCAGGTAAATCTAAAAAGTCTAACTGCATAGGAGTCGCAGGGGGACTGCTGACAGGAGTCTAACTGAAATCTTGCTAATCTTTAGGATTTCTCCGGCACCTCGATTCCAATCCCACTCATGTGAAAGTGCCCCTCTTAGCTCCCCAATTCTGTTTCTATTTAAGGTGACTAAATCAGTGGCTGAACATCTGACCTTGTGGCCCCTTTTTGTGCTTCAGACTGAAACTGGATGCCTTTGTAGAACATATTCACCCAAGGATTTTGTATGAACAGAGAAAGATGCAATAAAGGAGGATACCTCTAAAATGTTTTAATTACACACCCACACAATATATAAAATGTATGCATCATTTTAGCTGGATAAATAAAGCAAGTCAAATGTAATAACACTCCTCGAAACTTAAATAATCTTGTAGAAGAGATATATTTTGTTTTTTTTTTTTAATTCTTTTAGCATTCTGTACACTGACAAGAGGTAAAAGAAAATGACTGAAACTTAAATGTGAAAGAGCACTTCACAATTAAATCCACAATTGTAAACATTTATCTTACTCACGTCAGTGAAAAATCACCAATTATTATAAAAACAGGACAAATTACATCACAAAAGAAGCAAAAATTAGAAAAAAAATTCATAAAAAAATATATCCAACTATGAAAAGTGTTGCTCTCTTGGTGTCTTCACATCCTTCTCTTCTGTGTACTGATGTACAACACTGAAAAGAAAAAAATACATAAATTGAAAAAATTAAAAACCCTGCTTGTAAGTATACATAGTAGCAAGTTTCAAAAGCAAACAGATTTTGGTTGGCTACACCTGACATTTAAAAGGAATTTTCATATCATTCAATTAACTCTGGAAGTACTAGTTTTATGAATCTATATCCGGGTTTGATGTCTTATAAAACTGTGTCCTAATCTTATCCATGTGTCTGACTGACTCTGCAAAGTGTGACCATGAAGATATAATAAAATAGATGTGGAAGTCTCTGGCATCTAAGAATGCTTTACAGTTGGAAGTGTAAGAATTATGCTTTTCCGGGTTGAACACAGTGGTTCAAGCCTGTAATCTCAGTACTTTGGGAGGCCAAAGCAGGTGGATCACTTGAGCTCAGAAGTTCAAGATCAGCATGGGCAACATGGTGAAATCCCCTCTCTACCAAAAATACAAAAAATTACCCAGGCATGGTGGTACACGCCTGAAGTCCCAGCTACGTGGGAGGCTGAGGTGAGAGGATCACTTAAGTCTGAGAGGCAGAGGCTGCAGTGAGCCAAGATGGCACCACTACCGTCCAGCCTGGGCGACAGAGCAAGACTTCATCGCAAAAAACAAACAAACAAAGAAACAAAAAACAAGATGTTTTCAGAAAGTAAATCAGTCAATCTACCTACCAGGCTAGATCTCAAATTAAGAATAAACAGTATATTTTCATCTCTCTCTCCAACACAAACTCTAAACTTGCTGTTTACCTTCTTAATTGCAACAGGATAAACAAGAGCAGGATTTTTTGATTTTTTTTTTTTCTTTTTAATGATATCAAAGTCCTTTTTCTGAGTTCCTGTTAAAGTCTCATACTTTGGTGTTACCCAATATTCTACTTAGCCAGTCCTCTCACGACTACCAGCCTGAACTCTTAGGATGTATGGTCTGTAGGAATGAAACAAAACGGAATGCCTGGGTCACTTTGGCCAAGTTTCACTAGTGCTGGCTCTCCCTTCCACCCTCCATGCCTACTAGGCTTCTGAGAGGTCTGCTCAAAGTAAACAGTAGGATGTCTTCATCAAAGTACAGCACAGCTCAATCAAGTTAAGTCAAGATCCTCTTTAAAAGCCAATGGTGTGAACTTGGGAGTCTGAAGATGAATCTTGCCTGTACAACTACCCTCCACTCTGCCCCTCAAGTCCTGGGTGTAGTGTGCATGTTAAAGGATCCAACCCCTATCAACATGCACAGAAGCCAGCCTGTCAGTGACTGCTGCCATTAACTGTCTTGAGGTGAGAAAAGATTGTATCATTTCTTAGGAAAAACAGGAAGTCAAATGAGGATATGAAAAATAGGATAAATAATTCTATAAGTAGGAATGACTAGAAAGCCAGGAGATCATATATATAAAAATATAATATGAAGAAATATGATACTGTAAGCACAGGGGACAGAATCTATTACAAAAGTCAGGAAGTTTAGTTTATAGCAAGGAGATTCAACTATTTAGGGAGCTGAAGACATCCAGAATTAAACAAATCAATAAAAAATCTTAACTCAAGAATCCCAGAGTTTCATTTGGGAGATTGAACCAAAAAGTGGGGTAATTCTCATACTTCTGATGTCTTTCCTTCTCCACCAAAAATACAAATATGACTTAATTATAATTTTCATGTTGAAACTAGGTACTTAAAAATAACTACAAAAATCACAGCAATTAGTTGTTTAAAAAACTGAGAAACTTTAAATTAGTTTTTCTACTTTGCCATTTTTGCCAAAGGAAAGGTACAAATCTCCATAGAAAGCATCTGAATGTTTAACAGAGAAGGGACAAATAGGATGAAATGCCAAATTATGCAAATCAAAGACATCAAGGAAATGGTGCCCATTCTTACAGCTCCAACTTCAGGCTACGAGAAGCAGGAATATGTGCTGGGGAGACACAGTAATCTTTACTTGAGAGAGCAGGGTTCTGGGTCAAGAGACCAATGTTCCCCATTTCCTCATCACTAAAGGAAGGGAAGGGGAAAATTTTAGTTTCAAAATTCTATGAAGCATCTAAAAAATAACTGGTCAAACTGAAGATCTGACATATAAGCATTTTAAAATAAGCCTAAAACTGTACTTTTAAATTATCTAGAAAACTCTTTGGTGATCTGGATTATAAACAGAAAGGCTTATTTTGGACCCTGTACTGCAGGGTGAAGAAATGTTACCATTGTTTCCTCGGATAAATGCATCTCCATACTTATTCTTCAGTTGTCCATTTACATATTCCTCTGTCTGCTCCAGGGCTATATTCATGTAGCCATCCAGGCAAGCCAGGACCCCTGCAGACAGATTGAGTCAAAAAGAAGATACACAAGAAAAGTAAGAGTTGAAAATTACAGGGTATACCTTAGAGCAGACAATCTCTCTTTATTCATTAGCTCTCAGATGCTTAACATAAAAATTCACACAATAAATGAAACTCAGTAGCGTAAGCAAACAACAACTCTATGCCAATCTGAATGAAGGCTAGGAAGGCAGTCATGCACCCACTACTATCCGGTAAAACAACAAACCGTCACTTCCCTCATGGTATGAATGAACGTATAGCAAAAGAATATTCCAACAAAAATACCATTCTTTGAAAACTAAGCACAAGGTGGGCAATTATGCATGAACAAATGATCCCAGGTTCCAGAGGCATTTCCTACTTTGGCCACTAAGTGAAATATGGGTCTGCAGATTTATTTCATTCTTTCACAACATCTACTGCAGCAGATGAATGTACTCCAGGGTTAAGAGGAAGTCTCCACAATCTGTTAAAATAATAGAAGAGGAGACAGCAGGTGCTCCCGAAAGAACATCTTAAAGCTGTGACTCAGAGTGAAGAGCAGCTTGAGAATATAGGGCAACATATTGCATTATAACACATCTTGTTCTGTTTTGTTACAGCTATAATATTTTTCAATCAAAACTAATAGAGAAAATGGCCAAAAACATTCGAGGGAGCTTTCAAGGAAACAGTTTGAGCGAATCTTTAATTGTGTTAAGATGGTATAAATTTTGTAAAATTTGACATGATGACCTTTTTCAAAAGATGAAAATCTGTAAGCCTCTAACTCTGTCTCTAAGGTAAAGTGGTATTTTCCAGAGGAAAAAAAAATTAAGTAAAAACAAATACTAGATTCAATTGAATTAGATGAGTCTATAGTTTCCCATCTGATGTCTTAACTTGATTAATATGCTCCTCACTCTCTGTCTCTGCCCCTATTATCCTCTAAACAAAAAAAGTTTCCTTTCAAAATTGTGTCTATAATGACAGCTTAAGCTGTAAACTCTCAAAGAACCAGAATGGACTGTGAATAATAACAATTATTTCTTAGCAAAAGAAAGCTTAAGATACAACTTTAGCTCATTTCCTGCTGTATTATTTTACATATAAACCACAATTATAAATAAGCAAGAAACTTCTGAGGCAAGACAGGAAAGTTTGAAAACTAATGAAAAAGATTTCAAAATGAAACGTCCAGGCTGGGCACAGTGGCTCAGGCCTATAATCCCAGTACTTTGAGAGGCAGAGGCAGGTGGATCACTTGAGGTCAGGAGTTCAAGAACAGCATGGCTAAAATGGTGAAACTCCGTCTCTACTAAAAATACAAAAATTAGCCAGAAGTGGTGGCAGATGCCTGTAATTCCAGCTACTCAGGAGGCTGAGGCAGGAGAATTGTTTGAACCTGGGAGACAGAGGTTGTAGTGCACTAAGACTGCGACACTGCACTCCAGCCTGGGTGACAGAGTGAGACACCATCTCAAAAAAAAAAAAAAAAAAAAAAGTTCATGTCTAACTAAAATATCTATTCTATTCTCATAGCAAAGGCTAAGAAGAAAAAAACAAAAACACACACACACACACACACACACAAACGCAAACTGCCCAAAAGGTTAGAAATACAACCCTTTCCTTCTCCATGAGATAAACTACTATATATAACCACAAACAAAGCATTTTCTTAAAGAGAAACTGCTACAGAGAGTTGATGGAGGTTTTTTTGTTTTGTTTTTCGGTACGTTGTTATTGTTTTGTTTTGGGTTTTTTTCGGTGTTTTGTAAACCATAAAATAAGCGTGTTCCTTTAGTAAGGCTATCTAATAGTATAAAATATTTTGCTTTATTAGTACAAAGGTCATGAAGAGACATTCATAAGAGGAAAGCAAATTAGGGTTACTATCCATGTGAAAGACTCCTGAATCTCACTAGTAAAGAAAATATATGTAAAATGTTATATTACTTGTTGCCAAGTATTAGATTAGGAAAGATGAAAAAGCCAGTATAAGAGTTGGTGAGAATATGAAGGATAAACCCAGGTTCTCTGATGCAGGGCCAAAGAATACTCTGATTTGTAAATCCTAGCCCAGGGAATTGATTCTAAAGAGATGCTTGGTCAAGTGTTCACAATATGTGTCAAAGTAAAACAGTGGTTTGTAGTAGCAAAAAACTGGTCAACACCTAAATGTTCATTAATAGGAAATCTGTTAAAAATAAAAACAAAACTATGGTACAGCCACACAAAACTCGGCATTGTTACAAAACTAAATGTATTGTTTCATGTTTAAAAAAAAAAAAAAAAATCAGGTTTCATGTACAGCTGATTCCATTTACCTCAAATTATGCTTATATAGAGGTCAAAATTGGTAAACTGTCTCTGGATGGTAGCATTGGGGAGACTTTGCTTTCTTCTACATATTTTTTTCTATTATTTCCTTTTAAATTTCTAAAATTAAAACTAAAACATGTATTGCCTTTATAAACAGAAAAATTTTCCTTAAAGAGTATAGAGAAAAAAGATCAGGCAGGTTCATCTCTTCAATAAAGTGGATACTGAGAAGATATTGAACACAATGTCCTCACTTTAATCAGCTGTCAAACAGACTAAAATCCCTAGAAATCTATTATTTCTTATGGGCCCATCAAAAGTTCACAGGTAGAGGCAGTACATGGAGACATTACAGTATCTCAGTATTCAGTATAAATCCATTAGTTTTACTATAAAAATAAAATTAAACTGGAGATATGTTATTAATGTCAAGAAGCTAAAGGAGTACATAATCACCACAGTAGTTTCTTATCAAGGCTTATGAGCCAAGCCTGAACTCGAGTCCTAGCTCCTCCCTTACTAGGTGGGAATACTCAATAGAGATTTCAAAGGAAAAAGCTTGAGAGATTACTATCATTATTAATTATTTAGAAAAGAGACCAAGAAAAGGCCACAAAACCCTGTGCTATGGTTTGTATGTGTCCTTTCCAAAATTCAGGTGTTTGGCAATAAGACCTTATTAAGAGGTGGGGCCTTTAAGAGGTGAGAGGACCATGAACACTTTCCATTCATGGGATGAAGGCTCACATAAAAAAAGGCTTCATGCAGTATGCTGGTTTGCCCTCTGCCTTCTGCCACATAAGGACTCAGCATTCCATCCTCTCCGGAGGATGCATCCCTCGCCAGACAACTGAACCTGCTGGCATCCTGATCTTGGATTTCCTAGCCACCAGAACTTCGAGAAAATAAACTTCTGTTTTTGAAAATTACCCAGTATAGTGTACAGTGCTTAGGTGGTGGATGCACAAAACCACCACTAAAGAATGTATCCATGTGACCAAAAACCACCTGTACTCTACTGACATAAATTTAAAAATGCAAAAAATAAAAATAAGAATTACCCAGTCTGTGGTATTCTGTTACAGCAACCCAAGAGACCAAGTCACTCTGCTAATGAATTAGTTAGCTACACCTGCGAAATATTTCAGGCACCTTAACATACCTTAGTTGCAGAAGATAAGGAATTTGGTAACTTTAAAACATAGAATTTGACACCATTCTTCCTATAAAGTTAATTTCAAAAGCATCACAGCCTCTTAAAAACAATATTTTCTCCAAGAACAGAAAGGCATCTTTGGATACTCCACACATAAGTTACATGAATGGGACATTCAGGTTGTAAAATGATACTCAATAGCTGCTTGCCAATTTTGAATACTCCTGCAAAAACAAATGCTTCTGTACCAAGGTGTTCTTCAGTTGAGTTGTTCACACCTGAGTCAACTAAGAATACCCGGTTATTACCAGGTAACTTAGGCACACATGATCTCAAAGCAGAGACAGGAGACAGAAGTCACACAAATCACACTGAAAGGCAGAAACAGCACATGCTATACTGCCAGATTTGTCCCTGTAGAAAGAATGATCTCAGAGGTAGAAAAAGAGATGTGCATAAAACCTGCTGAGGACCAGTACTTTTTTGGTCTATCGGGTATATTTAAGAGATTAATAAAAATCAGTACATCACATTTACTTATTCAGTTACACCAGTGAGGATGAAACATGAAAATATTACCTCGATAATCCACTCCAGAATTTAATTTTACCACAACTGGTCGTCCGATGATTTGCTTTAAGAAGTCACTAGGGGTTTGCTTCCGAAGACTCATTTTAACAATCCTAAATCAAAATATGAAAAGGGGTAATAAAGGTAAAGACAAAAGCTGATTAGTCAACAAAACCCTTAAAGCCCTTAGTATTTACAGAAAATGAAGTATCAAATAACCATGCAAGAAGACTCATTATTACTCCACTACTACTACATGACAGCTAACAGGTTTTCAGCACTTACTATGAGCCAGATACTAAGCTAAAACATTCTACATGCATTATCTTATTCAGTTCCCACAACACCATGGCATAGCCTCATTAGAGAAAAGTCCTGTGTTTACAAAGCACCTGCTCTTAATCACTTATCACTACTGCCTGACACATAGTCAGTATACCCATTACAACCACTACCACACCTCCATTAGTGAATGGTTGGTTATTTTACGCAGAGCATTCTGCTAAGGTTTTTATAAACACTATCACATTTCATCTTTACAAGAACCCTGGGAAGAAGGTCTTAATACCCTCATTTTGCTGATGAAAGGCACAGAAAGATTAAATAATTTGTTCCAAAATGTGATGGAATATTCAAGTTCAAATCAGTCCTATTTTAAGTCTTTATTATATAGGACAGACACATTTATAAACTGATGCCTAAATGGTATCTCTGAAAAGAATAATAATATAAAGGTAATTTTGAGTGTACCATATGCCAGCACTTTTCCAAGAACTTTGTATGTATTAATCCATTTAAATTGCTCTACCCTAAAAGGCAGGTATTGTTTTTATCCTCATTTTACAGATGAAGAAAGACATAGAAAGCTTAAACACTCTGCTCAAGGTCACACAGCCAGAAAGTGGAGAGCCAGCCCATATTCTTAATCACAACCTTAAACAGCCTTCTGAAAGTCACTATCGCAGCCAAAGACTTTTAATTAGTTTATTATGACTATAGCAGATATGTGCTCTAAATAATGAAGAAAAAAACAGTCTTAAAATATAAGAATAAAAGGAGTCTAAAATAGAAAATGAGATAGCGTTATACACCCAAATCAACAGTATCAGACATGGAAAGCTGCACATCACTCCTTTCAAAATGCATCTTTTCTTATATAATAGCTACCTCTTTCAAAATATGTTGGCAAATTAATAAAATTGTAGCTAAGCAAAAACTGAGTAAAAATATTTTAGAAATTAATGTTTCTGTTTCAGTCAAATTCAGCATCACTTATTATTCAGCAGCTATATAGCACTGACACTTAAAACCTAGTACGGATACAATATTTTAAGAATTCCCTTCAAGAGCTCAAGCTGTTCTTTTGTTTTCAATGAAATTTTTTCATTAAACATCCTTCCATTAATAGCATTGCTTATTTCATTCTAAGTCCCTCCACTCAATGATCTGAATTTGTGTGTAGAAGGATTGTTTGGAGATATTCTCATAGTGAATTCATACATGATCAGCAGTTGGAGTAAGCGGGAACTCTAGGTTATCAGTTTTTCATTTGTTCAACAAATATGTACATGTACACACTGAGCAAGGGGATTCAAAAACATGTCACACACAAAGGCTCTGGCCTTAAATTTAAATCTAGAAGAATTTAAACTCTTGTTTAAAGAGTGTGAGTAAACAAAAGCAATCATAATTTAAGTAAATTAATTATTTTTAGCCAAGAAAAGTCAACATCCTAAATCAAATAAAATACAAATTTCAGAAATTATTGTTGAATTTTAGGCTATCATTTGGACAATCTACACTGCCCCCAATGCTTGAAAGATGTTTTCAAAATGCAATCAACTGATTATTTTGATCAACAAATGTTAATTTAACTCTTCCATTGAATTTCCAGCTTATTTTTTTAGCTCCACAATCTCAACAGATAACTACAATTACAACTACTATTCAGGACAACCACTTTTCATTCAGGACTCAGATCACACAGCAGTTTTATTTATACTGTTCTGAGTACAAAGAGAAAAATTACAAAGTAAATACTGTAACATATTCAGTACCTTTAATGAGTTTAGTGAAAATCCACAAATCTTCTCATTCATCTATAAACTGCCTTATTTGCATTTTGAACACGTGCTTTTTTGTGGCCGAACACATCTAGAGAGAATATTAACTCTGAAGGCCTGATACTCAACTGATGAGTCAGGTTCATTTCCTACAACAGATTCTAAATCCCATTATGCCACAGTTTCATCACGTACAAAACTGAGATGGAAGTAGCTATTTTGTGTTAAAGACCAGTAAGATGTATTGTAATGTGACTCTAGTTCACAGAAATATTATTAACTACTTTAATTATTAGTAATTTCACCTACTCAGAGTATTTACAATTTGAGATTAAAAACATAAAGCAAAAGCTGGAAGGAGAGTTAATAACTGTCAAAAAAAAGAATGCAAATCTTGACTATCAGTTGCTTGACAGTATAGGTTATTTTAAAGGTATTTTTAATATTAACTTTCCACACCTTTTTAAAAGCAGAGATATGTTCTTCTAAGCTCACCAAAGATAACGCCTTGCCCAATAATGCCTTATCTGCATTCCAATTAACATCAATCTCTTCTGAAGACAATCAACACTTCCAACTTTCACAGAGCACCTGTTAGGTGTCAGGCACATGGAGCTGCAGAATGTTAACACAAAGATAAGGCCTTAAACCCTCAGAGTTCACATTCTAGAGAGGGCAAAAAAACATGTGAATGGAGAATTTTACAAAGGTGATGTGTATTCTGATAGAATTTTGCACAAAAGAGAGCAGAGAATCTCCTATCCCAGGTTTGGTAGATCAAAGAAGAATTTCTGCAGGTTAACACCTGAGCTGAGTTTGAAGGAAAAGGCGTCATCCTCCAGCTGAAAGAAGTCAGAAAAGGCACGGAACACGTGTCTGGGTAGAAGGCAAAATCTACATAGGGAAGGAGGAAACACCTCTGTGGCAGGGAGCTGCACCACACTCACAGGGGGCACGGACTTGAGGCTCTGGGTCAGTTTCCCAAACTTGAATCATTAGGATCAGCTGGAGATTTTACTCAGTTCTTGGGTAGGAGCCAGGAATCTATTTGAATAAGCCTAGGAAATAACTGGCAAGAGGAAATACTGTTGTCAATGATAGGAAACAGGAAAACAGGGGTTTTAAGCAGGAACTTGCTTGGGTTCCACTTTCAACTTTGCATAGCCCATCTCACCTAGTTTTGGCATCACACAGTTTGGTATTAGATTTTACTTGCTATAAATCAAATTACTTGCTATACAACCTGTCACTATGCACTCTTTTGTATTCTTTTCGTGGGTCTTTTCTCCCTCAAAATACTGTAAGCCAAATGACAAGAGGGACTGACAAGCTTCTCAACTGTTCTCTAGAATATCTACATTCTACTAAATCTCTGGGGAAAAAAATACTTTTAAGGTTATTTGAAAAAGAGTATATGGGCTGCCTCAAACACATTTTATCCATCACTTTAGGAAAGCCATATCTTTTACATTAGTCTTCATTAGGCTTCCTTGGTACTCCCTGTTACTTAATGACTTGCCCATAAATCCATTTTGTATGGGTAAATTGGTCTTGACACCACAATTTTTCCCATCACTTGGCTCAAGTAATTTTAAGTTTTCATCTTTTAAATTGGATAAGGCAGAAGGAACAGTTTTGACAATTTCTGAAGCAAGAGATAAGACTCTTGAACCATAAACACGTAAGAGGAAAAAGACCTTTCTTCACGGTGACCTTGATAAAACTTCTCCTTTCAAAATTAAAGTCATTATCACTCTCTATACCTCCTCTCCCTCCCCTGACTCCTACTCAGGCTTGTTTTAAATGATCTATTTTCATAAATGGCTATTAAAGGCAGTATATTTTCTGTCAGAAGCTACTGTGAGGTCTAGTATGAGAACCTTTACAAAGTGCCCTGCAGAGAATTTTTTTCTTTTTGGTAAAAGAATGAAGAAAGAATGAACTTTTATTAATCCAACTATGTGCTACCAGTGTTAGATTCACAAGCAATTTACAGAGAAACCCCGTGAGGCGGAAAGCAAAGCCAAGGTTAACCTCAAAGCCCAAGCCCTTTCAAAGGTACAACTGCTTTTCTGAATATGTTAAGATTCCCTGGTTAAATCTTGGGGAATCACAATACAGGTGGAGAAAAATCTAATGGGAGAGTGGTATCGCTGGGGAAAAAATACCTAACATGAAAAAATACTGTAAATTAGCCTCAAAAAAATGTAATGGCCAAACACAAAGCTATGTATCTAATGTGATCTGAGTTATGCCGCTGAGCAGTACAGATGAAAACCCTTATTTCTTGGCAATGTTTACCTGTAAGTTTTTACCTACTCCTAGAGTATTTACAGTTTAGGGTGGAAAAAATTGAAAAGCAAAAATTGCAAGGAAATAACATTAGAACCCAAGTAATTGCAGCGTTAGACTAACACAGCAGTGTCTGAGGAGGCAATCGGACACTGAGAAGGACAGCTCTCTAAATTCCTCCCTCTGACAGTGGAGAGCCTCGCTGTCTTTTGAAGGCTTCATACCAATCCTTCCTTCCTGAGCAGGTGGGGCTCCTTCTCTCGCTCACTTCCCAAAGGCAAAGTGAGTCCACTCAGAGGATCTCTTTACACTCTCAGTCGTGGCCCTTATCAGGCCGTTTTGTAATGTTTCCGTTTGCTGACTGATCTCCCATGGTGAGTTTTAAGCTTCTTGGGGACAGGGAAAATATCTTACTCACTTGGTATCCCTGGTACCTAAGCACACTGCCCAAGTCTGTGGAAGTGACATTCAAAGCCAGTGTCAAGCAAAATTCCTGTCCAGCCCCCACCAGCCCAAACTATGGGTACAGTGACTATGGGTACAGTGACTAGTAGTATCATGCATGTACTTCAACAAATACTAATCAAGTAATCTCTATAATGACCACCAAAAACGGATAAAACAACAGTTTGTCATTCAAGAATCAGCTGTATCCGAATCTAGAGATGCTTGTTAAAATGCAAATTCCTGCAGTCTACTGAGGTAAAGGCACTATATATTACATTATAAAGTTCTCCAGATAATTTCTATAAGCAAGTGGTTCTCAACTAGGGGCAATCCCCTCTGTCCTCCCCCACCATGTTCAGGGACATCTGGAAATATCTGGGGACACTGTGAACTCTCACGACTGAGGCAGGTGGTGCTACTGGTATACTAGTGAGTAGAGACCAGGGATGTTGCTAAACATTTTACAATGCACAGGACGGCCCCCCACAACAAATTTGTCCAGGCCAAAATGTCCATGGAAGTTGAGAATCTCTGCTATAAGCTCTAAAATAAAAAAAATTAAAAACCAGCAACATTGTTCTTTGGCCTTAAAGTGAGGAGTTATGAAGAAATCTCCAAAATACAGCAAATGAGAACCAAAACCTACATCTAAACAAACGATGGAGTGTAGATTATAATTTATCAGGGATTTTTTTATTCTAACATATTTGTACTTATAGAGAATCTGAAAACAACTGTCAAAGTCTTGAAGGGGTTGCCATTCTAATAACGGATTTCTAGCCTGGGCCATGAAAATGATCACTTTACAATTTTTCAGTACTAAAGATCCCTCTGATATTTAAAATGTTAGTACACTTTTAAAAGGAGAGAATAATCCAAGTGATGTAAACATATTTTTAAATTCTAATATCTACTATGCCACAGTTCAGTGAGAGGCTGCCTGATGCAGCACAGAGTACTCACTTGGGACGCAGGAAACCTCAGCTCTAATCCCAGCTCTGCTACTTAATTAGCTGTATCACTTGAATAACTCATCTCACCTCTCATGGCCCCAGGTTTCTCATCTGCAAAATAAGGGAGTTATGCTAGATGACCACTTAAGGTCTCTTCCTGTTTTAACATTCAGGTAGTCTAATACAGTTAACTCCAGTGATACACACACACATACACCACAAACATAAGCCTCTCGAGATTTCTGCACAATATTCAATCAAGTAAAACTGCCACCCACCTCTAAAACTTTTTTGGAAAACACTGCAGCAATGTGTATGAAGGCCTAAAGACCCTATGGATGACAGCATCTAATCTGATAATTTCACTTGAGAATCTAGTCCAAGGAAATAACCTAAAAAATAGGGGGGGGAAGTAATCAAAATATGATCTGGGATGCTAAGATGATGCAAAAATTTCAAAACAACCTAATGTCCCACAGTCGGGAAATGACTGAATAATTTATGGGACCTACACTGGGATCCACAATGATGGGCCAATTCTTTTGTCACTCAAAAGAAGATACAAAATTAGAATAATATTTAGGAAGTTTTTAAATGGAAGTGGAAAACTACACTGTTAAGTAATTAAACATGAACGGTCTTAGTCCAAGTAGAAGCTGGCATTATACAAGAGAAAAAGATGGTAGGTGAAAGGGTTCAGTGAATATAACTTTCTTCACTAAAGTCTTCTATGTTTGCAATTTTTCTACAATAGTCACGTATTACTAACAGCAGTGGGGTAGGGTAATTCCAATCATCCTAATCCTACACACCTTAAACAAAAATGCCTGCTATGCACGCACGGGAGCACGCGCGCAGACACACAGAAAACCTCTGGCGATAGGACTTAAGACCATACAATCGGGTTCCCCAACCAGGCAACTCGGTAATTCAGGTTAGTCCAGCCCTTAATTCCTGTGGTCAGGTGCAGCCACTCCGATGTAGGAGAGGCTTCGCAATTTCCTGAAGCCTGAAAGAATCCAGGCAAAGCCTAGGCCTAGGTTCGGGAGCCGCTTTCCCGCCGAATCCTGGGATTAGCGCTGGGGTTCCCTTGGGGAATTTCGGCAACCTCTGAACAACTTTGTGCAGTCTCGAACGCCAAGTCGATGGGAGCCGGGACGGTACCGCTCCTCTCCTCGCACTGTAGGCGCCTCCCTGACGGCGGTTCCAAGCGCGCACCAGATTACTCCCGGCCATTCTGTGCACACAGAGCTTGGACGCGGCATTTTGCCGGGACCTGCCACCCAGCAGTCCCTCCCCGGAGCCCCAACCCGCTCCCCGCAGGCCCTTTCCGAGGCTGCACGGCCCGCGCAGCCACGCGGCTCACCTCCCCGGCGGGATCCAGAACCCTCACTACCGGTACCACAAGAGTCCGGCCTCCGGGGAGTTCATCGAATCGAAACCGAAACCTCCGAGGCATCGGTACTTTTCTGTCTCAGCCAATCAGTGCTCTTCTCTGCTACGGCAGCCCGCTGGGGCCGAAAAGGCCGGTCCGCGCCAAAGCGCGCAAATCCAAGAATCCTGGTTGGTTTGTCCAGTGGCGGAATTGGTGCAATGGAATTCCTCTAACAGAAATCCGTATACAACACAAATACAATTAAATACAAAACAAAAACAAGAATCCAGAAAAGTAGAAGTGATCTTTTGGGCAGGATTTATTTGCAGAGTGTAAAAAATAACTTGAAGTCATACAAAACTGGAATTTACAGTTTAAGTAACTGCTGTGTGTACCCAGAAACGTCCTTGAATAGTTTAAAGCAAACAAATAAATAAAGCAAACACCTCAAGTCTTTAAATCTGCCTCTGGATATTGATTAAATGTGTGAAGACTTAAGCCATTTTAGCAAGAGACTGTTTCCATGACAATGTTAATTGATACAAAAATAATTAAAATCACTCAAGTAACTCCGAATTATAATGACATTAATTGTGTTACATTAAAAACTAGTTCCAACTGAAAATGGTGTGCAGACATTATCTAAGTGCTACTATGGGAACTTGGTTTGGAATTTTGCATGCATTCTCAATACTCTTGCTATTAATAGAACTGGAGAGGGAAAAGAAGAGAACAGTTAGGCCAGGACTTGATTCCTTTTTCCCTACACACATGCTTTCATCAGCTGAAACCTTATACTTTATTTTATTTATGATTTGTAACAGTATACACAAAGTGATAAGGTCTTCCAACACAGATCCTTAACTCCATTAAGTGTTATAAAATCTAAGATGCAGAATGTTTTTCTAAGATGAAGAGTTCCTCCCTTGTATCCCTGTTTTGGCTAAAGGCAGAAGAAGTGAACCCTTGATATCAGGAACAGAAAGGAACTGGATGTGATTTGGTAAAGAATAGAGACTTCCTTATATCCTTCTACAAAAGCTCAGTTTGGGTAAAGACAAAACCGTTACAGACTTATTGAGAGGGCTGTATTTGAAGTTCTTGCAATATAAAATATAATATAAATAAAAATTTTAAGAAAAGTGCCATTAAAATTAAATAATTAGTTGCAAAGAACAAACATGATAGGATAAAAAATCCTGTCCCTAAAAACTTTCTTTGCAAAAGACATCAAATTGCACACTCCTTACTGGTTGTTTCAATTATTCAAAAAACAATAAGTTTTTGATTCAAACTTCTTTCCCTTTCCTACAGAGCCCTGATGGAGCGGTTAACACTGGTGTGGTGGGTAGGAAGCCATGAGGAGTTTAAAGACCTCGTTCATCTGCGGAGCAGCTGCAATCTTCTCCAAAGGGAGTAGCTGGGTAAGGGGCCAGCTTGACATACGGGGTGGGCATCCTGAATTATTTCATGAGCTAACAAGCTTATAAAAATTGTGCCTGTTCCCAAAAGCCCCTTAGCAGCTTATAACTGACTTTTTCTAACTCGCAAGGCAATTTTCCATATTTCCCAGGTTTTTGCTTTCAGCATCTTTTTTGATGCAAAGAAAACATTGCAAGACTTTTTGTGAAATACTATCTTCCAAACCCTGAATGTAAACATTAATTTATTAAGAGCCTTAAAGTCATAAAAATATTATGCAGAGGTTTAGTTTAACTTGCGTGGTTTAGTTTAACTTATTTATTTTAGTTTTGTTTAGTTGTTAGATCTGATGAATCTATGCTGACACATCATTATCACCCAAAGGCCAAGGTCTACATTAGGGTTCACTCTTGGTGTTGCACATTCTATAGGTTTCAACAAATACACAATGAAATGTACCCACAATTACAGTGTCATACAAAATAGTTTCACTGCCCTAAAAATTCTCTGTGCTCCACTTATTTATTCCTTCCTCCCCATTAACCACTGGCCACTACTGATCTTTTTTCTGTCTCCATAGTTTTGCCTTTTCCAGAATGTCATACATTTGGAATCATACTATACATAGTTGGGGTGCATATGCTGCACCACCACACTGTGTAGCCTTCTCAGACTGGCTTTTTTCACTTAGAAATATGCATTTAAGACCACTCTATGCCTCTTCATGGTGTGACAGTTCATTTAAGTTCTGAATAATATTCCATTATTTGGATGTACCACAGTTTATCCATTTACCTACTAAAGGATATCTTGGTTGCTTCCAAGTTTTGGCAATTATGAATAAAGCTGCTATAAATATTTGTGTAGAAATAAGTTTTCAGCTCATTTGGGCAAATATCAAGGAGTATGATTGCTGGATCATACAGCAAGAGTATGTTTAGTTTTATGAGAAACTGCCAAACTGTCTTACAATGTGGCTGTACCATTTTGCATTCCCACTAGCAGTGAATGAGAGTTTCCGTTATTTCCCATCTTCACAGGCATTTGGTGTTTCCAGTTCTTTGGATTTTGACTATTCTACTAGCTGCTTAGCAATACCTCATAGTTGTTTAAAGTTGTCATTCCCTAGTGACATGTGATATGGAGGATCTTTCTATATGCTTATTTGACATATGTACATCTTCGTTGTTTTTTCAGGTCTTTGGCCCAATTTTGAATCAGTTTATTCTTTTTTTTTTTTTATTGTTGAGTTTTAAGAGTCCTTTGTGTATTTTAGATAATACTTCTTTATCAGATATTTCTTTTACAGATATTTTCTCCCAGTCTATGGCTTGTCTCTTCATTCTCTTAAAGCTATTATGCTTAAAATAGACAAATGTGGATATAAAAATGCTAAAGGGAACTCTTGCCACTTCATTGTTTGTCTCATACTTCTACAGTTCTATAGTACATATGCCTTTAAATAACTATGTCATTCAGTGTTTCATATTCATAAAAGAAGGTCTCATGTGTAGCTTATTAAACATCCAACAGCCCTGTGAACATGCAGGTGATTGTATTATGTTGTTGTGGTGGTTGTTGTTGGTGATGATGAAAATGATAAATGCAAACACGTAATTGGATTGACCAACACTCTCCAAAGCAGATTTTCATACCTTTCATGGATATTAGGCTTCTAAGAATACTGGCTGGTATTGATGGAGCAATGCATTAATTGGTATGAAGTGCTGGCATGGACTTGAGCCTTTCCTGGACCTTCAGACTGTACAATAGGAGCTCATAAGCTGTGTTGTCCTTTAGTTTTAGACACTTGGACCACTATTATTTCCCTTTAATCGTGGGATATGAAAATTATTTGTCAAATAAATAAGGAGAGGCCAGGTGCAATGGCTCACACCTGTAATCCCAGCACTTTGAAAGGCCGAGGTGGGAGGATTACTTGAGGTCAGGAGTTCGAGATCAGCCTGGCCAACATGTTGAATTCTGTCTTACTTCAAATTTTAAAATTAGCCAGGTACAGTGGCTCACGCCTGTAATCCCAGCACTTTGGGAGACCGAGGGGGGCAGATCACCTGAGGTTGGGAGTTTGAGATCAGCCTGACCAACATGCAGCCTTACTAACATGGAAAAACCCTGTCTCTACTAAAAATACAAAATTAGCCAGGTGTGGTGGTTCATGCCTGTAATCCCAGCTACTTGGGAGGCTGGGGCAGGAGAATCACTTGAACTCGGGAGGTTGTGTTGAGTTGAGATCACACCATTGCATTCCAGCCTGGGCAACAAGAGTGAAACTCCGTTGCAAAGAAAAAAAAATTCAAAAATTAGCTGGGTGTAGTGGCACACACTTGCAATCCCAGCTGCTTGGGAGGCTGAGGCATGAGAATATCTTGAACCCAGGAAGCTAAGGTTGCAATGAGACAAGATCTTGCCACTGCACTCCAACCTGGATGACAGAGTGAGACTCTTGAGAGAAGGAAAGAAGGAAAGAGAGAAAGAGAAAGAGAGAGAAAGAAAAGAAAGAAAGAAAAAGAAAGGATATAAAGAAGAAGAAAGAAAGAAAAAGGAAGGAAGGAAGGAAGAAGAGAGGGAGAAAAGGAGGGAGGGAGGGAAGGAAAGAAGGAAGGAAGGAAAGAAAGGAGACAAACACTCTCCAGTTGTTGAATATCTTCTGAGAAGTAATATAAGCTTATTGACTGGTAGGCAAATTTCTCAGAAAAAGTAGTATGTCTTTTATGTTTACCCAAAGAAGGGATATATTCTACATTATGGGCACTTTCAGATGTAACGTGAGATGTTTAAATAATGTTCAGACTTCATCAGCCATCATTTTGGCATGGCTTGAATTTTAAAAGAGATAGGATCAGAGTCTAAACTCCTGGAAGGAGAGTCTCCCAAATGCCGTGATGCTTTATGCTCCACGGTGAACTCCAGAAAACCTCTCTCAGCTGTAAAATTCAGTGAAATCGGTGTGAAGCTGCCCTTGTATTTTAATCAAGATGAACTTGAAAGGTGAACATTATAAGTGGGAGAAATTATTTATAATTTGGCAATAAAAGTTTATGTCTAACACTCCAAATTTCATACATCTGCTATGTGCTGGCCCTGAGATATAAAACAATTGAAGTTGCCTTTACATTTGGCCTTATATGAAAGGTCATAAATTAGAGTGATAGGGTTCGTCCTCTTTCCTAGCTCACAAAATTTCCATATTAACATCTTCACCTCAAACATAAATGGTTACCCAGCTACAAAGAAAAGAGTTGTATTGGCCTTTATGAATTATGGTTTATGTTGAAAATCTGTGCTACATATGGCTGCTATTTAGCTTGTAGAAGAGTACATCTACTTCAATGAAGCTAATTCTACCACAGTGAAACTAATTAAAATTGTATGGCCAATTTAAATAAATAAAGTACAGTATATAAAAATTTAGGAATACTTTCAAAATTAGCAAATGGTTG